CAACTTACAGTATCGATTACACTGATGATTCTCCATCAAGTTCACTGCTTAGGTCATTGGGTAGCTATGTAGCAGTGACTCAATCCCAACTGTGACAGCTCCCCACCATGTCAGCTCTTGGTGATGCTGCAATTTCGCCCATCAGACAAAATTGCCTTTTTTAAGTAGTTTAAGTATCTGTTAGATAGCCCACATGTGCCACTATTATGTCAACTCTAGAAACACATTCGGACTTTCGAACAGATTATTGGGTGAAGCGTCCTCTAACGGTGCTTGAGTCAGGCGCCAATCAGGTGGTAGCGCTTTGTTCACTGGTCGACGTTCCCGCTCCCAACCAATTGTCAAGGGGGACTCATAAAAGCTGTGAATGTCACGAAGGCAGAGTATCTCATCATTCTTTTCGTTTTAGTTTCTGAACCTCATGAGCCTTTAATATCGATTAATCCTCTCACAAAAGGCGAGATATCCTAGTATGAACTTATATGAACCATTCATTTGACAATATCAATAAATCCTCTCACAAAAGGCGAGATATCCTAGTATGAACTTATATGAACCATTCATTTGACAATATCAATATATATATACTAAGTGAGGAAGAAGGGCAGTTTTCTACAGATCGTAGACTGCCGAAGTATTACATAGAAACTCAACCACAGTAAAGTCAATTAAAACTCTTGAACATGTCTAGAAAATGTTTACAGAATCATTTAAAAGAAATTTGCGGCTCCTGTGCTATGGGAGATCACAGGCTACGTATGTACTTGATAACTAGAGGAAGGGAGGTCGATACAGAATAGAACTGAAGGAAGGTGAGAATGCCGTAGCTGGTGGAGTATTTCAGGGGAAATAGAGGGATGATCTTGCTTTTTGTGATTAGAACAAAACATCGTGATGGTTAGCTTTCTTCAGGTCATGAGTTAGTCTTCCTGGTCATGAGTTAGTCTTCCAGGTCAGGAGTTAGTCCACACCGGAGTTTGTCATCTGCCAGACCAGGAGGTTTTGGAGATGAAATAGAGAAGATGAATACAATACATGAAAGATGAATACATGAATTTTACAGGTAATTTTTCTTTATTATTTATTTGCCCTCGCAGAAACAATTCAATGTTCATTTCACTATATTTTTTTCACTAAATATCAACTTTCGATGTATCAGTTATCTCAGACTCAGAGAATAATTAATATAACAAAATGAAATACCAATCTTTGGGAAAATAATATTAAACGAAGTATACTGTAAGAACATTGTCCTGAATGAATGTTTTCTTACTGGGGTTCCTGAATGCCGTTCTGATGTTTTGCCTATTTAAAATATGCCACTGAGTGTGCCTCTGGGGGGTAAGACTATCATAGTATACCGCTCTGCTGGGTTCCTATCACCTGTGTCCATTTTCATCAAATTACATATACTCGTATTGAATTCCAGTAGCTATATCTCAGGCTAACAATACAGCCTATCCAGGATATGAAACTTACATCAAGCAGAGAGGGGGCAGGACAGGCTCACGTGTTCCCAACTTCATACTGTCTGCTTTCCTGTTCTTCCCAAACACGGGATATGCACTCGAAGGACGTCCTGTCCTTTCAGCATCCTGGTGTATGCTTGAAGTTTCGTCAGCGCGGCTTCTTGATGCCGCGTGAAGACGGGCACTGTTGGATTTCCCCTCATTTCCTGTTGGCGTGTGTTTTGGTCTTGCAACTTTATTCAAGATACAAGAGTATCTTCCGCTTCCTTAAGCTTGAGCTTTTGCCTCCGGAAAAAGGGATTAACTTACTGGGCACCAGTGTTTGACCTCCCCCCCCTCTTTTCTTCCCCACACCCCCCACATTCTGCGAAGAGAGACCTAGGCACCCCTTCCCCACAATTTTTATTTATACAGATGATCAAATGGGAAACAAGAGAGCTGCTTTCTTAACATGCATATTAGACGTTTTAAAACCTTATTTAAATGCCCACAATAAAAGTTCTCCGTGTCAATACACGCAGAGAGGATATATGTGCCTGAAACGCTTCGCGTAATAGTGGCTTTAGGCATTGTATGTACTAGCTCTATCTATAAATCCATCAATGTTTGTATCACATCTTGTATGTATGTACTTTACCTGAATAAACATTTGAATTTGAATATATTAACACTAGATAACAATTAATATCTTGGGTGACCTTGGATGTGGAGTACAGCAGCCGCTGCAAAGGGGTTACATGTCAACATTGCATCTCTAAGGGACAGAACTTATTCCAGAATTCTGAGGGACGAAACTTACTCCAAAGTTCTGAGAACGTGAAATTGACTCGAATGTCTGCAAAAAAAAATCAGCTTACTCTCCAAAACCTGTTATTAAAGATATATATTAAACCTAATGTTTCCAACTAATTTGCATGTCTATTTATTTCAAGATGAATTAAGAGACGATAAGGAGACATGGGAAAATGTTATACTTTCCGATAATTTTCATTATGACCTAAGCATTTAATATATATATATATATATATATATATATATATATATATATATATATATATATATATATATATATATATATGTCGTACCTAGTAGCCAGAACGCACTTCTCAGCCTACTATGCAAGGCCCGATTTGCCTAATAAGCCAAGTTTTCATGAATTAATTGTTTTTCGACTACCTAACCTACCTAACCTAACCTAACCTAACTTCTTCGGCTACCTAACCTAACCTAACCTATAAAGATAGGTTAGGTTAGGTTAGGTAGGGTTGGTTAGGTTCGGTCATATATCTACGTCAATTTTAACTCCAATAAAAAAAATTGACCTCATACATAATGAAATGGGTAGCTTTATCATTTCAAAAGCAAAAAATTTGAGAAAATATATTAATTCATGAAAATAAGCCAAGTTTTCATGAATTAATTGTTTTTCGACTACCTAACCTACCTAACGTAACCTAACCTAACTTTTTCGGCTACCTAACCTAACCTAACCTATAAAGATAGGTTAGGTTAGGTTAGGTAGGGTTGGTTAGGTTCGGTCATATATCTACGTTAATTTTAACTTCAATAAACAAAAATTGACCTCATACATAATGAAATGGGTAGCTTTATCATTTCATAAGAAAAAAATTAGAGAAAATATATTAATTCAGGAAAACTTGGCTTATTAGGCAAATCGGGCCTTGCATAGTAGGCTGACAAGTGCGTTCTGGCTACTAGGTACGACACACATATATATATATATATATATATATATATATATATATATATATATATATATATATATATATATATATATATATATATATATATATATATATATATTGACTCGATATAACTTAATTAAATCGGTTCCAGTTCACTGAAAATTATCACAGTATCACACAGGAATTTGATCGTGTTGCTAAATCTTGGTTTTTAAATAAACAGGTTTTTTTAATAGTTACAGTACAAAGTTTAGATTAAGATCGGACCATATAAAAACAACGCGGAGAGGAAGTTCATAAATTACAACTGCGGATAAACCTTCATTTTTTTTTGTATATCCTGTATTTCAACCTTACAGCAGTTTGTCTCGTTTCATAATCCTTTATTTGTTGCTTAAATTGTTTTATTATGTATTTATTTAATGGAAATTAATGGGGTTTGGATTAGCCAGTCCTAATGAAGCTGGAAATGGGCTACATCTGTCACCTGTCACTGCTACAATGTCACCTGTCACGGCTACAAGGTCATCTGTCACCGATACAGTGTTATCTGTCACTGCTATAATGTCATTTTGAACAGGGTTCCTTAACTGTTCGAACTTATTCAGTTGAGTCAATAGTGACTGAAGGACTGACCATTTGATCCGGCCTTCGTAGACGTGCCCAGCGATGGTGACGTGGTGATGATACGGGTAATGGTGATATTAATGGTGATGAAACTGAAGGGTTTTATAGTGATAGTGATGTTAGTAATGTTGACTACAATAGTAGTAGGTAACAATAGCAGATAATGGTGGTGACGATGAAGGTGGTGAAGATGATGGCGGTGGTAGTGGTGATGGTGGTGAAGACAGACCGATAGGTGAGGGTGATGATGGTGGTGAGGGTGATGATGGTGGTGATGATGATGGTGGTGGTGATGATGGTGGTGGTGGTGATGGCGGTGGTGATGATGGTGGGGTGAAGATGGTGGTGATTATGGTAAATGATGTTGTTAGTGATGATTGGAGTGTGATGATGGTGGTGGTACTATTGGAAGATGAGTAGGGTTGATGGTGAAGGGGGAGGGGAGGGTTGTGATGGTACAGATGGTAGTACTCACCTAGTTGTACTCATCTAGTTGTGCTTGCGAAGGTTGAGCTTTGACTCCTTGGTCCCGTCTCTCGACTGTCAATCAACTGGTGTACAGATTCTGAAGCCTATTGGGCTCTATCATATCTACACTTGAAACTGTGTATGGCGTCAGCCTCCACCACATCACTGCCTAATGCATTCCACCTGTTAACTACTCTGACCCTAAAAAAGTTCTTTCTAACGTCCCTGTGGCTCATTTGGGTACTCTGTTTCCACTCTGTGTTCAGTGGTGGTCGTGTTTGGTGGAAGATCTTCAAGAGATTATCCTGCTGGCAGTGGTGGCATGGGTACTGTAGTCTGTGGTTCGGGTGGTGGTATTGCTGATGGAAGCGATTAAAGTGGAGGAATTGGGGATATATTAAAACTTTATGTACTGATACGCATTTAACACATTGCCAAATTCAAAGTTAAATCAACAATTTATCCTCACAGCAAAGTTTTACAAATGTAATCGGGCCAAACACTCATTTCGGGTTTTTTATATTTTCTTTCCTGGTTCTAAACCAAACACAAAATCAGAGAGCAGAGAGTGCTACACACACACATTTTCCTCACCAGAGGGCTCTTCCTGCGGACCCCAGCCTGAGTCATTTTTAGTGTGTCCGCAGTCATCCGGTAAAAATTAAATTATCTGACGTCAACCTCGTGTATTTAAGATCCCGGGGAGCAAAAAATATCTCCATTAACCCTCAGACCATTGCAGAGTGCAAGTTGGTGCTCTGCTAAACCTTTTGTAGTAGATCACCCCCTTCTCCTGCAACTTTACCAGCCAACTCTACAAGGACAGACGCCACCTGTGAAGCGAAACTCGCACCGGACACCTGCTACACTGGACCTGAGATGAACCCCGTGTGTTCAGGAAATGGTAAGGGCAATCTAACTCGTGTTAGAATAACTTGAGAAATATTTGAAGTATAACTAAGTCAATCTCTGAGGCTCGCAAACTCTCGGTGCACGAAATAACGAAATTTCACATTGAATATTCAATAAGTGAATGGATTAAGGGGTGACACTTACTGTGTGGTATTGTTATTTTTTTAACACTTTAAAACTGGTTGGATCTTTGCTGGCTTCTCCGGTTCATTAACGAAGCAGATGCACAAATGCAGTAGTGATGATCTCTATGTAATTTTAAAAGGCATTGCAGAGTTAAGGAAGATACTAGTGCAATGTTGAACTTGTGAATGATAGCAGATGAGGGAGGTGCGGGAGTGTGAGCAGGTACAGGAGGGCGTGATAAGGTTTATTTTAAACTTTACAGCTTGACAGCTTGCAAATGGTATTAAGTCAATGTGGATTTTGTGGTAAACATATTTTTTGTGGTTATATATATGTATATATATATATATATATATATATATATATATATATATATATATATATATATATATATATATATATATATATATATATATATATATATATATATATATATATATATATATTAGTATATTTTGGTAGCAGTCTTTCCTGTAGACATATATTATTAAATATGACCGAAAAAGTAAGATTAATAATTCTAACACGAATTTTCTCAATCTTTCGTACATTACGCTTCACTGTTGGAGGTAAATCAAAAATCACTTCTCCAAAATTCATTTTTATTTCTAGTCTGACGCGACACGGGCGCGTTTCGTAAAACTTATTACATTTTCAAAGACTTCACAAATACACAACTGATTAGAACTTACGTCTCTCTGATATTATATCTACATTTGAGTGAGGTGGGAAGGATGATGTGGCATTAACACAAGACAGAACAGGGGATATTAATAGGGTATTAAAAGTATCAACACAAGACAGAACAGAAACAATGGGTTTTGAATAGAAGTGTTTGTAGACCAATCAAGAAATATGGACCAATAGACTTTCTACAAACACTTCTATTCAAAACCCATTGTTTCTGTTCTGTCTTGTGTTGATACTTTTAATACCCTATTAATATCCCCTGTTCTGTCTTGTGTTAATGCCACATCATCCTTCCCACCTCACTCAAATGTAGATATAATATCAGAGAGACGTAAGTTCTAATCAGTTGTGTATTTGTGAAGTCTTTGAAAATGTAATAAGTTTTACGAAACGCGCCCGTGTCGCGTCAGACTAGAAATAAAAATGAATTTTGGAGAAGTGATTTTTGATTTACCTCCAACAGTGAAGCGTAATGTACGAAAGATTGAGAAAATTCGTGTTAGAATTATTAATCTTACTTTTTCGGTCATATTTAATAATATATATATATATATATATATATATATATATATATATATATATATATATATATATATATATATATATTATATATATATATATATATATATATATATATATATATATATATATATATATATATATATATATATATTTACCCGAAAATAGCGTTTCGGGCAAATCTTTAATTCTAATATATCCCGGAATACGACCCCGCCAAATCGTTTAACAACCAGGTACCAATTTTACTGTTGGGTAAACAGAGGCTACAGTTAAGGATTGACGCCCAGTAAATCCTCCCCCGGTCAGGATACGAACCCAGGACAAAGCGCTCACGAAATGTCAGGAGAGTGTCTTACCACAACACCACGACGGGGGATTGCTTTCTAATACTTTTTAATGTGTTATTTTCACGATGATGACCTTCAAACATATTTGCAAACACGATTTTTAAGCTCAAACATATATCGATACAAACATTTATTTTTGCATTTACAGGGGGTCAGCCACCGAATATTCCAGGGGGTCAGCCCCCGAAAAATAGAGCAGAAGCTAGAAGTAACCATAGACTTATAAGGTAAAATTATTGATTTTCTTTATCTCCATTGAACTGTAATAATATCTTTTTTAATAATTTTCATTTAAATTAGTTTGAATTTGTGAACAATTACTAGTTATTAAGGCTATGATTGTGGGGAAACTGTGTAAAAATCGTTCATAGTTGTGAATTCTACGGCTGGTTATCGCGCGATTACTCTTCCTATTAATTGTAAACATGCAACAGTTCTGCTTGAGTGTGAAATTTAGCTTCGTGCTACAATCAGGCTGTGAAGCCCTCTGGTGGAGCCCTCTGGTGGAGCCCTCTGGTGGAGCAGTCTAGACGCATTAAACAGTTACTTGGATATAAAGTCATATCAATATGTGACTGCACTTGATCTTCCAGAGGGAAAGAGACGGGGAATGAGGGAGGGAAAGAAGATAGGGAATAATGGAGTAAAGAAATGTGGGCAGGAGTATGGGAAGGATGGAATGGTGGAGGGAGGGAGAAAGAAAGGGAGGGAGGTATAAGAAGTTAGGCTTCCAATATTGCTCTTCATCAACACAGGACCACATCACGAAATTGCACATTAATTCTTTTCCGTGTTTGCTCTCCCAGGGCGCAACTGCAGGCGAAATATGACCAAGAAAGACTTGAGAACCACAGACTAGCGTCTGAGATCCTGAGTACAGGCACGAGGGCGCAGGAGTTAAAAACGTCAATTAAGACAGTGCAGGACAATATTCGCGATATCGTTCACCTCAACAGTGTAAAAGACGAGGAAATTCGCAAATTAGAAACCATGAAAAAGCAGATTATTGATCACATGGAAATGTTTCTTGATGGCGTAGATGGAGATAACGAAGCAAGAGCAGTCTTGCGGTTCTTTCTGGCAAGTGAAAAGTCGTAGAGAATAATCTAATCGCTCTCCAAACCATTTTCCACCACGTTTTCTTGTCTACCAGAAATCTAGAGACTCACCGAGTCTCAGTGAGTCTCATTAACAAAGCAGGATCTTTGTTAATCAGAGAATTTGACTTTATAAATTGTGTGCGAGAGGGCTGTGAGCGCTGGACTGACTTCGAGCGAAGAGCCCCACATGGGACAACATGGGTACACACACAAAGCAAATTACAGAAAACCTTTTTCTATAATGAAATATTATCATCGAAAAAGTATTACCTGCGCTACTATTACGAATTTTACATTTTTAAAAAGAGGAAAAATATAGCTGTAACGAGGAATACTCTCCCCCTTCCTTCAGCCTACAGTTCGGGCAGGAAAAGCACAGGATCCTCAACTTGTACCTGTACTTCCCAATACCATATACACGTCCGAATGGCTAAAAGTGATGGAAACGTTCTCGAACTCACATCAACCATCTCCACACCACTTAACTAAGGCACCAGTTATTTGATCCAACACCAAATATCAGAGGCTACTCTAGACACATACAATGTTTGCATTAAATGTTGTCATTCTATACACAGTGATTGATATTAATAAAATCTTTAAAGCAACTCTTTTATACCTTCTATATCCTGCTTGGTCTAAAAATTAACTAAAATCGAGTTTAAAGTTAATATTTTATTTTTAAATCCTACAAATACTTGCAAATAGCAGGTTGATTACTAATTCATAATTGTTTAGGTCTTCATTATGATTAATTAGCTCTACTGCTAATTGTCTTATCATCCTTATTTTGGGATTTATATTGTGTCTTTGCAAATTATCTTTCTAATTCTTAGCTAAATGTCACTCACTTTATGCTAAAATTATTTAGATCGCTATATACCTTTATATGCGGGCCTGCGGGCCGCTCCAAGCAACAGCTTGATGGACCAAACTTTATTTAGATCGCTATGCACCTCTTTAGTCTGGCCAGCACTGAAATGATTTGTACAAGTTAATTGCTCCCAATTAAGTTTTTGATGTTGATAGTGACAATGTCTACTGACCATTCTGTTATTGTGACTCTTATGTAATTAACGTACTGTACATTTTATGTAAACTTTCCCTATTATATAAGTACTACCATTTATGAATAAATTGATTGCATTGAATTATATCGTTATTTCCGTTTCAAGGCGTCACTCCATCATTATTCTTTTTTAGGCATCGTTTTGTCATTATTTCTATTTCCAGACATTTTTCCATCATTATTCTTTTTCCCAGGCATCTTTCCCTCTTTATTCCTTTTTTTCCCAGGCATCTTTCCCTCTTTATTCCTTTTTTCCCAGGCATCTTTCCCTCTTTATTCCTTTTTTTCCCAGGCATCTTTCCCTCTTTATTCCTTTTTTTCCCAGGCATCTTTCCCTCTTTATTCCTTTTTTTCCCAGGCATCTTTCCATCATTTATTCCATTTCATACATCTTTTCATCATCAGTCCTATTTCCAGGCATCTTTCCATTATTATTTCTTTTTCTAGAGATCTTCCTTTTAATTTTATAGCCAGGTTGGTGCAGGAACAGCCGGTTGCTGACCCCTGTTAGCAGGCCAAAAGCTTTCCCATTCCATAGCTCATGGTAAGTTTTACCCACTAGTTTCCCAGGAATACGATCCGCCAGTCGTTTAACAACCAGGTATTCGATCACTATTGGGTGAACAGGGGTATATAGTTATGGATTGGCGCCTAGTCAATCCTTCCCGGCCAAGATACGAACCCAGGCCAAGTCGCTCACGAAGCGTGGGGTGAGTGAGTTACCAGTGAGCCTCTCACTGTTCAAGATTCCAAGCATCTTTTGTTCATTGCTATAGTTCCAGGGTACTTTTCCTTAACTATTCCAGTTTCAAGGTATCTTCTCTTCATTGTTTCAGCTCCTAAGCATTCTTATCTTGTTAATACAATTTGATAAGATTTGCTATACAATCATTATTAATTTACAATCTTGATGGAGTGTACGACTATACTTTATTTTATATGATGTTTGTTAGATCTCTAGTTGATTATCATGCCTTGCATCTAATTAACTTCCCCGCCTCTGTTTTAAACAAACGAGAAGTAGTACAGAATGAGGCCATGAGGATAATTCTTGGTGCCCCAAGATGCACAAGAATCATCAACATGAGGGAAGAACTGAAGCTTCCAACCATACTAGAGAGAATCATGCAAGTCAACACGACCTTTGGCCTTAAAATCATGATAGACCCAACACACTAACTCACTTCTTATATGATAAATGCCTGAGTAAAATGCCTATAATCTCATTCAGCTAAACATTATTTTTAAATGCAGTTTACCTGTCACTGATATTCCTCTTTATCTGTATCTCACCATTCAAGTATCATACCCACCCGTCACCAAGAATGGAAAGGAGAATCTTGCTCTTCTCAAAACTGTCACACTCGAAACAATTGCCTCCTCCTTCAAAAATCTAACATCCCACGAGCACTGTGTCTACACCGACGGCTCAGTCCAATCACGTTTGGACGGACTGCAGCAGCATGTACGTTTTATTGAAATAATATTTGCACACAAGGGAGCCGGTCGGCCGAGCGGACAGCACGCTGGACTTGTGATCCTGAGGTCCTATGTTCGATTCCAGGCGCCGGCGAGAAACAATGGGCAGAGATTCTTTCACCCTATGCCCCTGTTACCTAGCAGTAAAATAGGTACCTGGGTGTTAGTCAGCTTTTACTGGCTGCTTCCTGGGGGTGGAGGCCTGGTTGAAGACCGGGCCGTGGGGACACTAAAGCCCCGAAATCATTTCAAGATAACACAGACTAATAGTGTCAGGTTAAACAACTGACTGAACTCTATGCAGACAGAACTAGCGGCACTACAACTAGCTACCAGAACATTAAAAACCAAAGGAGGAAGAATAATATTTTGTGATACAAAGTCTGCTCTTCAAGCAATTGAGAACTTCTCTAAGATCGACAGCAAGAACCTCATACTAGTAATTATAAATTACCTGATCGCTGCACATAATAAAGGGGTTTGAACCTCTTTTATATGGATACCTTCACACATAACTATAACCCATCATAATGAGACAGACATTGCAGCCAAATTAGCGTGTAACAAAGATGAAGTTGAATTAGACCTAGGTATTCCATCTCTGTTGTCACGACTATATTGTTCCAAACAATCAGGTCCATTAGGAGAGAAATTAACGACTTCCAAAAGCCCGAAAGCACCAGTATAAAAAGTCATGATTTGTTCAGATCTGAAACCTATATTTATGGGCAGCACAAAACGTCCACCAGACTGTGCGACACAGTGGTTGCAAGGATCAGGTTGGGTTACCGTTATCTGTGGCAGGTGGCTACAGGTGACGGATTTCCCAATCCTGAGCACTCCAGGTGCAAACTCTGTGAGCAGGAACTCCGGCATGATCTCCCACACTACATCACTGAATGCCCAGTTATCAGACCATTCAGACCCGTTGGCATGAGGTACCTGGAGCTTTGCAATCACTTCATTAACTCTCGTGGTCTTGAGGAAATCCTCATATTGCACTCAGAGTCTGCCAGTGGAGACTACTGAACACATGCCTCTGGATGCAACCCGTTCTCGCACTTTCGTATAGTCAATATTGACTTACTAAATACGTGCATATGTGACATACTAAACATACTAATTTACCTTGAAAATCTTCATAGAAAACACCGACCTTACCTAACCTTCTTAGTATGTTAAGATAAGCATCTTATTGCTTCGTAATTACAATTATTACTTAACCTATTATAGGTATAGGTTATGAATGCTGCTGAATGACAGGCCATCCTGTGTGATGGGCATTCATCATCGACTAGGAATTATCTTGTTTATTTTATGTTTGATTATATATTTCTGGAGCAGCGATGATCTCACGTCTCGCAAGTCGGCGTTCGATCCTCGACGTTCCAGGTGGTTGGACCCCCATTCATTCCCATCGTCCTTAACGCTGGGAAATAATGCATCCATTATATCTCTTATACTTTGTACAAATGGTTATGTGAGCAGATCCTACACATCCATGTCTTACATTATATATATATAAGAACTCTTCGTACATATATATTGTTGTAAAGACCCGTGTCGTATTATTTTCAGACCAGAATTTGAGATCATTTTAGAGTTGAATGAGGCAAGGAACGTCACTGAGATGTGCATGCCTGGTGAGTGTGAGGAGGTGGGGGGGGGACTGAGTGTGAGAAGATGGGGAACTAAGTGTAAATGGGGACTTAGTATGCAGGCTAATTATAAACCACCTTAGAACGCTTAGAATGTAGACATCACATGAAGTCAGATAAGCTGTACTATAAGACCTAACCACAGAGAGCAGCGCTATGTTAATCTTGACCCTTATTAACAGACAAATTAAGGTCGTTGATAACCCTTGCAACAAGTTAGCAGCTGAAGCCCCATTTGTCTTGCATCAACGCGGTAATCAGGAGCATTCGAATTTAATGCTATAAATTATTGTTGTAAATTTGACGCCTACTACGCAAACTTTGTTCGTAGTGGCGTAAATCACCAACGCCTCCCGTCCTAGCTAGATAAAGAAGTCCGAGAGAGAGAGAGAGAGAGAGAGAGAGAGAGATGCGTATTTACAGATAAACAATTTTCCCTCTTGTTATACGATATTTATAAGGCCATACTTCTCCTGGCGATAATGTAGGAGTCATTGTGCGCACCTCAGTTCGCGCAGCATCAACAACTTGATGTATATACAAAGCCTCCATAATGAAAGCATCTATTTATTTGCTCCTTTAACAAAAGTATACATTTACCGTCGTTTTTCTTTGCATTCTTGCAAGGGCCCAGACCTGTTGTTCATTAACTTGGTGTGTTTTTCAAAGAATGAATATATCCTTTCTGCCTCTCGCCCCCACACCATGGGTACAGTCTATAATAAACTAATTAAAATAAAGTCGATAATGTTTGATAAACTGTGAGTAGATTGTTGATGCATAATTGATGGTAAGCATGAGGTGGACGAATATTGGGGTCGGTTCCTGAGCTAATTATGTGCCTCTGCAAACTTTTTCTCAGTACCACTTATAGGATGTTTATGGAGTGCCTTACCACTAATATGATGGATATGGGGGGGCGTTCTACCACTCACATGACGGATATGGTGTGACCAACCGCTCACAAAATGGATATGGGATCCACTATCACTCACAAGATAGGTGATACCTGGTTGATTACCTGGTTGATTACCTGGTTGATGGGGTTCT